TCAACATGATAGTGCACCTTCACACAACTCACGAGTTGAATGTGAAGATGCCAAAAAATGCCTGGACGTAAACGGAAGCCAATTTGAACATTTAATTTAAACGATTCATTATTGTTTTGTGCTTTGTGTTATAATATAGTTCTTGTTTCCAAAGAATACTACACATTTTTATCTTCTTTTCAAGTTTTACGGCAACAAAAGAAGAAAAATATACAAACTATTATATCGTTCAATTCAGCAAAAATAGGGATTTTAAAAGGCCCACTGCCAACTATGACTACCATTCAACGCAAAAAGTTGTACTAAGGGCAGTTTTAACTTTTTTCTAAGTTAAGCAGATCGTAATAACCGATAATTAAAAAAGTGTTGATTTCTTGTCTTTTCAGGGTATTTCAGGAACCAAGTTGGGTACCTAAATTTTGAAAACGGTAATGAATAGGCAATCGAATTCTGTCCAATTTTCCCCATTTAACGGCTTCTCTATTTTTAAAAATGTAGAAGTTACTCATACAAAGATTCAGAAAATGGCCACCCTGTATATCTATTGTAGGCACTGAACCATCTAAATGAGAAACATCGCGCATGTTCCTTCATGTACTGCTGGAAGGAGAACATTTTAATATTTAATCTGCGCCTAATTCTTTTGGTACTAGAGTAGCCTAAAAAGGTTTATCTGAATAAACTACAAATAATAGTGAACTAGTGTGTTCTTTGATACTGTTTTTGCAATTACTACTTGTAATTTTTCTCTGAAATGAATTACTTCTATTAAACATCTAAGAAATTGTCCACAGCATAAAATCATTCATTTCGTCACACTATTGAGGATAAGTTCAAAAGATAGCATATGCGGGACAATAATGACAAAGTCTCTTTTTAATTATTTGCCGACGTTTTGACCTTTACTGAGGTCTTCTTTAGGGCTAAAAGAGCCAAACCGACAGTTACATAACTTTAGGAGGCAAAGTTGATAGTTAAGTTAAATATAAAATAAATAAATAAAAAACCAAATACATGGCAAATCCTATCTCAAATTATGTGTGAGTTTTATAATAATCTACTTAATTTCAGATCGGGCTTTTCATGTTTATTATGTATTTTTATTTTTACTTATTTATTTAGTTAAGCCAACTATCAACTTTTTCCCTTAAGTTATGTAACTTTAAGTCTGAAGAACATTTCAATAAGGGTAAAAACTTTGGCAAATAATTAAAAAGAGATCTCATTATTCTCCTACACCTGCTATCTTTTGAACTTAACTTTCATTGGGGCGCAAGGCTGTACAAAATTATTCAGCATGATTAAACGCCCTACAGAAAACATCTACTATTTAAATCATAGAGAGACAAAGAAAGGTAAGCCAAACAATTGCACTAAAAGTTTGCATGGCGCATTATCTATTACTATAACTATAACTTACTTTTTTGTTGTTGTGAAAGTCTCGTTCTGAGAGAAGGGCCCTGAAGAGTCACAAGTGAGGCGAGAAAACTTAGCTTGTGGCCCGCCCCATCGTCACGGGTTCAAATTAAGAATATGATTCCCGGGGATTATGTCACGAAAAGTATCCGGAATCTCTCCGCCCCGGCCTCTAATTGCGGCCCGTTTGTGATTTTAATTTCGTTATGTCGACGTTATCAAACGACGCCGTTCGGCTTAGAGCTTTTTTCCGGCGTCGGAACGCCCGGATTTTTCTCCACTATTACACCGATAATAAAATTACCGTTAATGGGCATACGATTTAAATTCCAAAAGCTTGTCTTCCACCATAGTCATTTAAAGAATCTTCATTCTTAAAAATTAATAATCATCTATTTGAAACAACTTTACTAGCATCCTTTTTGTTCAGTCTTCTTCATTCTTCTGAAGAGAGATGCACGGCTAGAGAAAAAGTCACGAATGACATGCAAACAGAAAATGGGATACAAATCCGAAGAATGAAAAACAGAACCTTCCAATCATTCGGACATATTTTAGTTGCTGTTGCCAAAGACTGCTGAAAATACTCCAGTTAGGAGAATATTTAGACAATTCTACTAAAAAACTAGTCTAACTACCTTCTTTCCCTATTTCCATTGTTAATAAATTTATTTAAAAATCAAATAAAGAACTGCGTCTGCCAAGTAACTAACCATGTATTATTTAAAAAGTTTAATAAAGCACAAAACCGCAGATCGATAGGTAAGTAGGTACACGGAATACAATAAACACAACAGGCCGAGCCAAACACTACAGAGCAAGTTGAATAATCCCTTAAAATTGAAATAGAGATTTAATTTCACCCCTGTCATTTGGCAGCAAAGCTTTGAATTTATGGGTTTTTCAATTGCTTAGGGGCGAATTTTTAAGAACAGGACAAATTTGTTTCCTTTTAAGATTGCAGTAGGGATTAGTTCATTCGACTTCGGTATTGTTGCTGCCCTATCTTATGTATATTCGAATATTTTCTGCGCGTTGATAAAAGTGTTGGAACTAGATAATATGATGGTTGAGCAATCAGAGTATTAAACATATGCAGGACAATAAAAGATTACAAATTAAATAATTGTAACTTGTCCATTATGGTTTTTAATAATTAGTGTATAAACACACTTTGTAAGCAGAAACCGAAGTGTTTTAAATTCAGATTTGAATTGTTTTGTATGACGTCTTGCATATCGGGTGAGCAGCAACGATTTAACAAAAAGTGAATCATGTTACTGTGAAAAGCGGTAAATTAATTGTAAGCAAATGCAGGAACAGCTTTAGCTTTTTAGATACAAGAAGGCAATGTTGTTTTGTAATAATGAAATTGTCGGCATTATCAGATCATCAAAGACTTCTAATCTCATAGAACGGATTAAGAACTTATTAGCTCTCATCAGCTGGGGTTAGCCGGAAAATAACCTTCCCGAAATGTTGTTATGTGTTAAGTACGAACATTGATAATTTCTATTGACTTAAGAATTCGAAATTGAAATAAAAATAGGGGCTTCCAGTTGAACAAATGAAGTTGATGGTAGTAATTTATTTTTGCATTAACCTGCATAAATAAATTTGCTGTAAAAAATAGCATGTACAAATAAAAATTGATCGCTGCGAGCTTTTTTTCAAAAAACAGTGAATTCAGGCATCACTTCTGGAACTCTGTGCAGTATTAGTATTCATACGCATCAGTAGTAGTATTCATAAAAAATAACTGTTTCCAAAATACCAATCAATCAATAAAATGTTCAATTTCAAAACTTGAACAATTAGTTACTGAAAATGCTACATAAGTTTGAGATAATTTGCTTAAAGCAATTATCCAGAGAAATTGCTCGATTATTATTCCTAATAATTAGACAGTAAATATCGAGAACTGACCCTGCAAATTTCGGAATTTGCTGATAATTTAGCGACCGAGCCGAACCTCTTCATCGACGTCGTCGTCCTGCTGAAATATGTGTCAAGCGTTCCAGGATGAGGGTGAAAATTAGGTTCGTTAAGTCGAGAAAGGGCGACCTGCACCGGCACATCTTCATTTGTCACTGGGACATTCCAGATAAACACTGGAGAGAGAACGGATTACGTATTTACGAGTTTTCCGGTAAGTGATATTGAGGGGATCCAGCCAAGGGAGTGTGTTAATTCAACAGCGGTAAGAAAATTGACTATAAGGAAAAGCAAAGCAACTAACAAGAACAAGAATTTATTGCGCAATAAAGGCATTTTTTTACTTTACAGTTACTTTGCTTAACAAAGTTTATCGATTTAATGTGTATTATTGTATGGCTTTTATTACTATAATAATTAACCTTTTTAATTTTTCTCTTCTTTATATTGAGTTGATTTTGTATTCCATTCTAAATCTTCATTTAGTTTAAATGAAATTTAACTGACTTTGTAACACACATTTGCTTGGGGCTCGAGAATTCGGGTTTTTGAATTTTGAGATAAAAAAAACAAAATTGAAATTAAGTTTGGACGGAAGTCCACCGATTAACATTCAAGTTGGTTGGGTCAAAAATAGTGTAATTTAACGTAAAGTTTAAATATTTCCTGATGTTTCACTGTGAATATTTTCGTAGTCGGTTATCCGATTTTAATATTTGTTTCTTCGAATCATAGCTCTAGTCTAAGGCAAAATTTAAGTTATTAGATCAGCAAGAAAATTAATTGAAACGTATTGTACAGGGTGCTTAAATAGTGTCATATTTTCTTGGTCAAAGTTTAAATTCTTCTGCAGGCCGTTTCAGCTCGGACAGAAAAAAAGGAATATGATGTTATCTATCTTGCCTGCGTAACGTGAACCTTTAACCGTCTGTTTAACTTGAGCCATTCGAGAGATATTCACAATTAAGTTTGTGCAAACAAAAGTTCATCATTACAAGTTTACACTTTGTTTGCTTTGTCACGTATAGCAATAAAATAAAAACAATATTGTTAGGCGTGAAAACCATATTAATAATTTATCCTTAAGGAAACCAAAAACTTTAACAACTCAATTGACAGAGCAGAGAGAGGATCAAGTAAACAGGGCTTTTAATGCGATTTGGTTTACAATGGCACAGACTTCTTTGCAAACAAAAAATCTTTAAATAAATTCGACCGGTCATCAAATATGATTGGTTCGCGCGGGAAATTTGACCGGCCATAAAAAATAAATATGTTTTCAATGAAGCTACCTCATATTGCACGCAAAAGAATTTAAAGCGTGACCAAGAAAACATGACTTAAACATCCTGAACAATATATTTATATATTTCATTTTTTATTGCTGATCGTATAACTAAAATGTCCAACGATAGAGCTTTGATTAGATTAAATAATTATTCAATTCGGACCACCGGCCCAGAAAATATTCACAGTCAACATTGAGAGCTCTTTTACACGAAGATACAGTTGTCCGGTTAACTTAGGGTATATAAAAAAGTTAACAAAAAAGACAATAGTTACCTATATAAACTATTTTCCACTCTATTGCGATTTAAAGTACCCATAGATTTAAGCGAATCTATTTAAGCTTGTTAATTGAAAGAGAGCTAGCTACTTTTGTTTTTTGCATGCGTGATTGCGTCATAAAAGCAGTCTCGGTTCAGTTTCATCATTAACATTTTAATCTCTAGTGCCTCTAAACTAGGTCTGGGTAACACTGTGTTGAGTTGCGCTATGGAGTTATTGCCGCTCTAGGAGTTAACGAGTTATAACTCATGGGTTAATGAGTTATAATTAATTTGCTAAAGCTTTACGAGACTCGAGACTGACATTTTCACATCTAAAAAAGTATTATTAAC